TGTGTTAATATTTATTAAAAAAAAAAAAAAAAAAAAAAAAAAAAAAAAAAAAGATAACATCAAATAAAATACGCCCGTAAAGACGCGTTACGTAAGGCTCTTTAAATTATGAGTCTGTCAGTGAATAGAAACATGTTGTTAACAGTGTGTAATGTAAGCGATTGCCACGATTGCCTTTGCCACGCATTCATTATGCCTTCACGGGGCGTATGATTAATCTCGTTGCATGATTTTATCGTCAATGCCAGATCTATGGCTCGCCCACAGCTGTGCGGCTTTTGTTCGCCTGTCCGGCTGTGAAAAATGATTTGCTTTTGTTTGCTTAGCATTTACCTCTAGAGCTAGTAAACTCTTTCCCACACACACACAAGCATACATAATTTATGACCCTGTTGTAGTAGCCCCTTGCCATTAAAACAAGTTAATTAACAGTTGACATAATATTCTTTAGTTAATGTTTTTCTTGTTGTTTTTTTTTTCGTTTTCTTTTCTGTTATGTTTTATAGCTTTTTATTTATCGCTTACTCTTCTGCACTTTTACATGTTTTTCTTTGCGTTTTAAATTCTTACATTCGTAAAAGATTCAGTTTGCTTTTCGTTTTTTCTTTTTTTTTTTCGTATTTAATTGAAAGTTACTTTCAAATTCTGTTTAGCTTTAATAACATCATTAATTCAATTTTCTTTTTTTTTCGGGTTCCTCTGAAATAAATATAAACTATATGTATACATATATATATATATAGCTTCTGCATTTGATGTCATAATATTTATTATAGATACACATTTACATATACAATATTTACGTCAGTTGTCTGCAGTTGCCCTCTGAATTAGCTTAGATCTTAAGAGTTTTTGTTTTCTTTTTTTGTCACTTTGTGTAGCCGTACTTAAAGCTACGCCTAATGTAAGTGGTGAAAGTGTCAGTGAAAATACTTTGGAATGGTTAAAGATTTTGAGAACTTTTTATTGCAAACTATTTGAAAACAAAAAATAAATAAACTCTCGTGGCATTATTAATTTAAAATAATATGCATTTTCCTTTGATGCAAGAATTTTCATTTGACAGCCTTTGCCGTAAACGGCCATAGCAAAAACAAAATTCTATCGAATTTCAATTTATATGCCTGAAAATAAACAAAAATACGAATTTATAAAAAAAAAATAAAAATAAAAAAATGTTGTATACAACGTAACTGTTGAATACATCAATAGCTGAGTTTATTTTGTGTTTGTTTTTGTATTTCTTCTTCTATCTGTTGGCTTTGTTGTACTGGTTGTTGATGTTGTTGTTGTTGTAGTTGTAGTTGTTGAAATGCTAATGAAAAAGTTGTGAGCAGCTTTCGCAGTTGGGGTTCAATAGTTGTTGCCGTGAAGCATACTTAATGAAACTTGTTTTTTTTTTTAGTTTTTCGTTTTTTGTAAATTTGTTCATTTTTTATTTCGTTCTTTTTCTTGTATTTATTTCTATCGATAGCATTATAAACTTTTTCAATGCTTATTATTTTCATTATTTTTGTTTTATTGCATATACGTTTATATAAACACTGAATTAAATTGGTTTTCCCAGTTTTTCCGTGTGTTTTGCTCTTCTTTTTTTTCGTAATTGGAAATACTGTTGCAAACATTTGTATGGTTATTTAACTATGTACTTACTATGACAAAGGTGGCCTGTAAAACTAATAAAGTATGTAATTAAGGAGAGCTGGAAAAATAATAGCGGAGAGGAAAGAACAGGGCATAAAAAGTTGTTTTTTGTACATTTTAAATAAGTAAAGCTTAAATTGAATTGACAGTTTTGACAATATATTAAATGGGGCATACATTTTTTACTCTCAATCGTCATAATGAAAATAATAATAATAATCAACATAAAACAAGTAAGAAAATTCTAGTCAAGAGTGCTCGACTAGATACTACCCTGAACCCAACAAATAAAAATGCTCATTTAGTATGGCTGAAATTTCAATTTCGATGTATTTAAAAATATAAATAAAATACCAAACTCATTTAATAAAATATAAAAATATTTTGAAACAACTAAAAAAAAATTAACATCAGTTGCATCGATCGGGATTCGAACCGCGACTCCTCGATCGAGCGTCATGCTGCTAACACACTAGGCCACCCCACTCCTGCTAGTGCCGCTGGCAAAACTCAAATAGATTCACTGCTGCAGCGCCATCTACCAAAACTAAACGAAACTAACTGCTG